CAAAGCCCGAGGGAGCCTGGCTCTGCCTCCGGGATTGCATGGGAATCTCTGGGTGGTATTGGTGTCCATATGGGGACCACAGTGTCACAGTGATTGCCAAAGTGGTCTGAGGATCTTTGTGCCAGTGTTTTGTGGTGGTTTAGAGGTGATGACAGGAGTTGACCCAGCGGGTGGGATTTTCAGTGACCTTCCTTTGTGCAACATCTGTGCTTTCCGAGTGACCTCAGTGGAACTGCAGGCGTGACTGGTACACAGGACAAACACACCTCCAGCTGGCGTGAATTACTGTGTGAGCGAGAGGTTCCCATCTCATCGTCTCCTTTTCTGCCATCTCGGGCCCTGAGCATCTTCTTGGACAGCATTTAGGTCCTCCCTTTGGCACCCCCCCCCCTTTCTGGCCTGAGAAGGGAATGATGTCCTCAACACCGTGGGCTACTCCCCAGCTGCAGGAGGGAAATGTTTGGCTGGTACTGGGTTAGAATGTGAGTATCTCTCTTTGCCGGCTCTGTGCCTTCATGACAGTGTGGGGGGGGGGCGGCATTACACAGACCAGGGCCATGTCCCGTCTTGAGGGTCCTCCCCCTCACTTAGGGGACTTGGCCCACATCTCTCTCCCCTGGGACACTAAGTTCCATGTGAGCAGAGCCTAGAGAGCCATAACCTGGGTCTCCAGCTAAAGTCGGTGTGCCCCAGATAATCAGTAAGTACCACCTGTCCCAGCCTCAGAGCCCACTGTGTGGATGGCTGATTCACCCGGAGCAGATGGCTCAGGCAGGTGTACCACCCACTCCTCGGGCTCTGAGACTCACTCTGAGCACTGCTTTCTGGATGGAGCTGCACCCATGGGTGGCAGGGGAACTGGATTAGCATCAGAGGTGGCGTGAGTAGGGCCAGCACCCTGCCTTGTCACCACCTCTCAGATTGCAGGCGTGTGGAACATGTGTTATGATGTGTACAGGTGTGCACAGGTGTGACCATTCCTTATGCAGCCACCTTGTGGTCTTTCTCCATCCCTTCTCCTCCATTACTGATGCTTTCTGGTTAAGTTTTCCCTTGGAACCTTCTAGTAGCTGCACTATAGCCCATCTATAAAAATCACCCATTCTCCCTAACCATGCAACTGAGGTTGTTGGTTATTGCCAATCAACGCTTTGTTTTATAAATCCTGCTGGTTTTCTCTAGTTTATTTTCTAAGGAGAATGCCAAGAGAGCCAGGGCAGAGTTGACCACAGGGACACTTTCTGGTGATCAGAGTTCATAGTTGGCTAAAGCAGAATCATGCTGCCTTGTCTTTGCCTCCGGACCATTGATCCATGACCACCCTTCAGAGCAGGCAGAATCCCGTCCCCTCCCTCCTTATACCACAGCGGCAGCACTGACATCATTGTGTGTCTGCTGTTTGTTTCTTGGTTCCACTGTGCCTCAACATCTCCCCTGACCCCAGACTGGAGGGGGAATGGGGACCGAGAGTACACAGGCTCCCTGAGCAGCGCTGCACCTGAGGCAGCCTGCGGGTGTTAGGAGCCCTCAGCCACAGCAAAGTGAGTGAGGTCACAGAAAGCAGGAGCCCATTGTGAGGCCCACCTCCTGCCCGGGGGGTGGAGCCCTTAAGGGTCTGGCCTTGAAGGGATAGTCACTTGTGGAAACCAGCCTCCTCTGGGGAGCCTGCCCAAACGTGGGCACAAGAGACCGTCACAGTGAGGTGAGAACAGGGCTGAGCCGTTGGGGTTTTGAGTGGTTTGGATGTGGGGTCAGAAAACTGTCCAATGGATAGAGGGCTTCCATTTGCTGAGGAAGAAACCACTCAGGCTCGCACTTTGCTGTTGGTGCTCCTGGGAGAGGAGTCTGATGACACTGGTGAGCCGCATCTTGATTGGGCTCTGTCCCTCACCAAGGACATCTACGTAAGGCAGTTGTGACAAACAGCCACTTGATAAAAGGCTCCGTGGAGGGGGCTGATGACCCATCACGGGTGGGCAGAGCCGATGCCCAGCAACACAGACGGACTCTTGGCCAAGCTCCATGACTCTTACTAGATCGTGGTTGCATCCAACTTCAGTATCTTGTGGCTTGGACCCTCCTGCCACTAGCCTTTCCTAAAGTTGTATGGCTGCATATTTTTTAATCATCCATGTAATTGCCAAAATGTCTATTGATTCCTGCCCACCCCTTCCCATATATCCAGTGAAGGGGTGTGGGGAGAGGAGGAGGGAGGGAAGGAGGGAGGGAGGAAGGGAGGGAGGAAGACAGGGAGGGAGGGAGGGAGGGAGGGAGGGAGGGAATAGGTTATGTGCACAACCTCACCTGTAATTCCTCAGGAGCCATCCACCTTGTTTAGAGATAGGATCTCCCACTGTCTTGAGACTCTATTAGTTTAGGCTGGCTGCCCATGAACCCTGGGGATGCTCCTGTCTCCACTTTCCCAGGCTGGGATTGCAGGGGCAACCACCCTGCCCCCTTTTTAGGGTTAGACCTAGGGATCTGGTTCAGGTCCCCGGGCCTATGCAGCATGCTTTACCCACTGAGCCCAGAGATGTTTTCTTAGAACCTGCAAGGGGCTTTGTGGCGTGAATCTGACTCTTTCCATCAGGAACATGGCCTTGCTCTCCACTCATCCCTGTCTCAGTGAATGCAGGTTTCTCTCAGGAGGCTCCGTCACTCTCGGGATCTCACCCGTGTGTTCAGCCTGTCGTTAATGTGATGTGGAATTCTCCTCACTTCAACTGATAATTCATCCATAGCTAGTGCTTTTCAAAAGCCCATATTGCTTTCTGTGGTTTTAGCTCAGATTGGACCACTTTCCTAAATTGTTAGGAAACTTTCTAGCCAATTGGTCTTATCTAACAAGAATGATGTCTTCAGCATTTTATTCTTCATCTTCTTATCTCAAAAGGTTAGTCTTCTAAAAATGTGTATAGCAGGCCAAGCATTTTATCATCCCCACCCCCATGGAGAAGAATGAGGCATGGGGATGTTGAGTCTGTGGCCAGCCTGGGTTACATAGGTAAATCATTAAATAAATAAATGAAGCCCAACTATATAGGGCAGGCAGTGGGTAAAGACTGTAAAGATGCTCCATCCTGGAGACCTGAGTCCAGTCACCAGAACCCGTGTAAAGGTAGGAGAGAGTCAGCCTCATGACTTTCACCTCATGGTCATCTCAGTCACTGCACAGTCGTTTCCTCAGGTCAGTTTTATCCCTGCCCCCAGGAGAAGAGGAAATAGGCAAAAAGTGGGCAAGCTACTTAATTGTAGATCCTCCCAGCTAGACAGAGATGGAGCCAAGTTGAAACTAGCCCTGGGCCTGCCTGCCTTCCACACTGAGCTGCTCCAGTGTTTCAAGTGTGCTTTTGGACTTAGAGGCAGGACTCCACACCAAGAGGGTACCCTCTGGTCTCTGGGTGCTGACACACTGTGGAAGGGCAGGGATTGGGGATGCTGAGCTCTGGGACTCACACTTCCAACCATGTAAATTCTGAGAGGCATGGGACACACCAGTGATCCCACTTTGATTTTTCTCAGGGGAGAGAAGATGCTCCTTCACCTCACAAATGGCGTCCAGTGGGCATGGGAGAGGCTCTGGTACCCCTGGGTGGTCAGGGCTAGGGTCTAAGTGGAAGTGTGTGTATCTGTGTTTCCAAGGATAGTCCCAGCTACTGCTGGGGTTTGCTACAGTTCCATAAAACATGTCGCCAGACAGTGACAGAGTGCAGACATTGCTGTTGGGTCACTGAAAGCATGGCCAAATTGGAATACCACTCCTGAGGATCTGCCCTCAAGGCCTGCTGACTATCTAGCACAGCCCTGGTATCCACAGTAAGGGCCAGGGTCAAAGCAAGGATCATGATGAGACCCATCATCAAGATATGCCAGGGCCAGGGCTGGGACCAGGGCCAGTATTCCTGCACTGGATCTCTTGAATTCTCTCACCCCTGGGTTATCACTGGCCAGGTCCCCTTTACCATCAGAGTACCACCTTTCCTCCCCAGGTCTAGCTTTGGGAGGTTTGACCCACTCAGCAAGGAGGCATTTGTCAAAGCTGTCTCCTACCTTGCAGGAGGTTGAAGACTCTATTAACACACACCTTTACACTTTGGGCCTCCCAAGCCTGGCTGCATCGTGGTGCCCAGTCTCCCCAGAGACCAGACCTGGCCCGCTCCAAAATAAACTAAGAGTCCCTGCCTGCATTCCTGGCCCCTTTGCTCATGTTTCATGAGTGACTAGCTCTTGCTTGCTGCTCCAATCCATCTACCCCCCTAGTGAAGTGCCAGGCACTGAAGATGGAGTTAGCCCTCCTCAAGCCTCCATCCGCAAGCCCCCCTGCCTGCTCATAATTATAAAGCTCCTTCTGCCCTGGTCCAGGAAGCCCCAGATCCTGGCCCAGGTTGCACATCTCTCTGCGGGGCTCCCCAGCACCAGGGACAGCTCCAGCCACCGAGGCAGGATTCTGGGGGTCCAGAAGTCCTTTTTTTTTTTTTTTAAAGATATATGTATTTGTTTGTTTGTTTGTTTATTATGTACACAGAAAAGGGTGCCAGATCTCATTACAGATGGTTGTAAGCCACCATGTGGGTGCTGGGAATTGAACTCGGGACCTCTGGAAGAACAGTCGGTGCTCTTAACCTCTGAGCCATCTCTCCAGTCCGAGAAGTCCTTTTGCTAACCTAATATGGTTATCACTTTGCCAACTGAGCCATCTCTCCAGCTCTTTCCTGAGTGAAATGAGCCCAAAGACAGCCATCAGGAGGAAACAGGAGAGAGTCTATGGTGCACCCTCCCTGGGGCTTCTCAGTGTTCCACAGCCCACCTTCCAAGGGCAGAGTGCCACCCTGGGGACCACTTTCATGGCAGGTGAGCCCAGGCTTCCACACAGCTGGGCTGACCTGTCATTAGAAATCATGATGCATCTGTTCTTCTCTGGCCTATTAAGCTATTCCTCTCTGCACCCAGAGACGTCTACTGTTTACTCAGTGGATTGTTTTCCATTCTGTTCTGTGCAGACTGCTGATGAGTGGGCAGAGAACATGCCCAAGGTCCCACCCCCCACACTTTCCAAGGAATCGGCCAACAGAGACATCTTGGCACGAATGCACAAGGCGGTGGCTTCCCACTATCACACCATCGTCCAGGAGTTTGAGAACTTCGACACCACAAAAAACAACACCGTCTCCAGAGATGAGTTCAGATCTATCTGCACCCGCCATGTCCAGATCCTGACGGATGAGCAGGTAAGACCGTGGCTGCTCATCCCAAGCCGTTGTTGAAGCAGAGAGTTCTACACTGCACTCTTGTTTTTTTAATGTTTGATTTTCCACCCCAACCCACTCCCCCCTTTTATCCCCTCCTCCCTTCCCCTCCTCCTTTTCCTTCTCTACCTCCCCCCTTCCTCTTCAATAAGCTCTCAGTACATAATCCTTAATAGCCTGGAACTTAGACCAGACGGACCTTAAACTTGGGGCGACCTTCCTGCTTAGGTGTCCCCATTGCTGGGAGTGCCCGCATGAGCTACAGCACCCTGCTGAGGTCTTGTTTTGTGCTAAGTCATACTGAAATTCACAGGAGTGGCTGTTGCTACAACAGCTGTGAACCTCACCATTTCAGGCAGGGTGAGCTTGCTGTCCCCTTTGCTGTGAAAATCAGCCCCGGCTCCCAGTCCTCCTGCATCTGTGATCATCTGGCGCTGGCATGATTGACAGGGCTTCCCCTCTCTCTGCTGCACCCTGGGGCAGCATGCTGTGCCAAGCGTGTTGTGGATGGTGCCAGAGTGCTAAGTACCACTTAACCGCCATCTTGTCCCCATGACCTGGCTCGCCTGCATTGTAAAACCTTGTCTCACACTCAAAGTCGTCCAGCTCTCCCGACTTCCAGAGCTCTGAGCCAGGGGGAAGGGACGTGGCTTGGAAAGCTGTGGGTACAATCAACCTCCCAGGGAAAGAGAACAGCTTTCTCAGGAAGGAGTATCTCTAGACATTTATCTATGATTTTACCCCCCAGACAGACACCCCTAGCAAGTGAGAAATGTGCTTGCAGGTAATAAATCAACTCAGGCTTCTGGGCCTGCACAGCTGTGCGCCTGTCCAGCTGTGTGACTCAGAAAAGTCAGTTGGCATCTCTGTTTTCCCTGGTATTCCTCCCTGGGCCCTCCTGGCACCCTTCTCTCCTAGCCAGCTTCCTCCTCTGCCTCTGCCAGGACCTGGCCCCTGCTCCCCTCACTGCCTACTCCTTCCAGATTCTAAGCAGAGGGAGGCCTTTCCCAGCCCCACTCGGCAGAGCTGGCCATGTCCCACTTGGCCCTCCCAGCGCCCTCCTTCTTCCCGGTTCCCATGCCCCTGGTCTCCTGATCACAGCCTTGGCCTCTGAGCCAGTGTCTAGGAACACAGCCACCCATCTTGGTGTGCAGCAAATGCCCCGGGGCGGCAGAGCCCACTCCTGCGTGCTGGGCAGCTGTCAACAGCAGGACTGTCCCCTGTTGCCGTGACAAGAGCACCAATGAGAGAGGGAGGGTTTATTTGGGCTCATGGTTTGAAGGTGCAGCCTGTCATGATGGGGAGTTCAAGACAACGGAGGCTTGAGGCAGCCGGCCATGTTGTGTGCACAGCCAGGACGCAGAGAGAGGTGACTGCTGGTCACTTCCTACTTTTTATTCAGCCCCGGACCCCAGCCCATCAGATAGTCCCGCTCACATTTAGGGTGTGTCTTCCCACCCTAATTACTCTAATCCAGAAGACTCTCACAGACATGTATAGAGGTTCATCTCCTAGGTGATGCTAGATCCTGTCCAGTGGACAGTCAAGATTAATCATCACAGCAGAGGAGGGACATCAGAGGCCAGGGGACCGGTGCTTATGAAGAAGTACAGGCTACTCCCTATTGGGAAGGAGCCTGTGGCAGCTGAGAGGCCATGGCCAGGCACCTGCTGCAGACCCTGGTCTCCCTGACAACAGGATGCAGGCCCACAGAAACAGAGCAGGGCAGACAGGAGCAGCAGCCTGATGGCAAAGCAGCCCCACCCTGTCCCCGAAGGGCCTGCACTCTCAGAGAACTTTTAGACAGTAAACATATGAGTAAAATAGGCAGTGTCTTAGCCAATGACAATGCTGTATATTTCTTTAAAGGCAGGAAAAGGGTACAGATGGAGTGGGAGACATGCTTGTAACTAGTAAGGTTGGGGAGGCGCTCTGAGCAGGTACCCTCGAAAGGGAAGACCTGGTTACTAGGTAGGGTTAGCTGGAAGCAGAGGGGACGTGGATGACAAGGGCTGTGATGGGGTTGGACCATTGGTGGATGACCAGTGCTTGGAGGGGATTGAGCCCAAGCCTGGAGTCTATCCTGTAGGACAGGAGCCAAGTGGAAACATTTTTGTCTTCACTCAGGGGTGTGAGAGGGTGGTCCTACCCTGTGCCAGTTGGCCTGATCAGCGGCTTTAAACAGTGGTCCTCTGGCTGCTGTGTGGAGATAGAGAGATGAAGGGCAGGGACCAGGGGCGGACTATTGACAGAGGGCACCAGAAGAGGTTCTGAGGGTGTCAGAGCTGAATCCCACAGCATGTGCCAACATCAGTGCTCACCGTGTTCACTGTGGGCGGCAGTAGATCTAGGTGTTGGTGTTGGGCAGGACAGAGCGAGGCGGTTCAAGGTGAGCTGTCCTCATGAAGCTGTAAAGATGGGTGCCATGGCAGAGGCTGGAGGATGAGCAAGGTGAGAGCGGACATGGCTAAGAATCTAAGATGCAGGCTGAGGGTGCCAAGGGCAGGCAGAGCTTGGGGGCAACAGATTGACAAGTCTGGGAGATGGGAGAGAGCAAAAGAAAAGACCAAGTAACCACAGTGACGTTGAGGAGGAGCTGGGGAGGTGCTGGATGTGAATTGTGTGTACATATATGTGTGCTTGCATGAGTGTGTAAGCATGTGTCACATATGTATGTGAATATATGTATGCACATGTATAAGCACCCGTCTGTGTGTACACACTACAGGTGTGCGTGTGTGCCCGTGTTCTTTTATACACTACATCACTACAGTTGGGTGGACCTCGTATGCACAGCTCACTCTTGGCTCCACTCTGGGATGTGGTTGCGTCATCCTCATTTGCCCAAGGGTACAGGAGCATCAGCTGGTCCTCTCTGAAGTTTCTGGAGCTTTGACTTTCTGTTCTTGCCATGTAGGCAGCACCTGTTTGTCTGCCTGTGTGAAGCGGGGCTCCACTGTCCTGGGGGCTCCGTGGTCCTCCCCCATCTTCAGCACCAGCGCTGTCTGGCAGCCATTCTTTGACGGAGGGCTGCTCTAACTCGACTCTGCTCCACCAGATTGTAAACAACCAGCACCTGGGTCTCTGAGGCTCTGTCAGGCCAGGAGTGTCTACATCAGTCTCAGCTCTCCGAGTGGTTCAGTGCCGTCACATCGGCTCCCCTGGGAGTCCTGTGGTGGTGCGTGTCTGCAGTACCAGTACTGAGGCAGGGGCATCATGAGCTCCCTGCCAGTGTTGGTGGGTTCCTGCCTCCAGGGGGAGGGGAACCCGTGACACTTAGTGGACTGCAACAGTTGGGCTTCTGTCTACTGCCCCAGACTCCTTCTCTTCCTGTCCATGTCTGCTATCTTCCATCGTGCTCTACTGTGTGGGATCTTTGTGTCTTTGATGCGTTCTGCTTCAGTGTAAGAAAACACTTGGAACTTCATACCTTCAGTTAAGTTTTCTCAGCTGTTGTCATAACCACTTTGCTAAATTCAGTCATTTTGTAATAACTTGTCAGCCAATTCCCTGAGCTGATACCTCAAGCCAGTTCTGAACAACAGGCAGGTGTCCTTCCAACCCATAGGCTTGTTATTTCTTTTCTTGCTTTGTAGCAATGCCTAGATCCCATGGTCCTTCCAAACAGAGCTGTGACAATGGCTTCCCTGTTCTAGCCTTGACTGGACAGGAATGCTTCAGTGTTCCACGGTTAGAACTATTTTCCCTAGAGACACTTCCATATATCAAATGTCAGGAGCTCCCGGTCAATTGTTCTTTGTATGCCTGTTTTTCTAAAACCCAGCAACCTTGGGTGGGTACTGCTTGTATCAAATGCTTCCCGTATGGTACATGTATCAAGATAGGCATCTAGTTTTTCTTCTTCAATTTCTCAATGCAGTGAGCTGTGCTGATAGGTAGCACAATAGTAAAGCAAATGTATATGCCTGTTGTGTGCACGGTTTGGTCAGGGTGTGTTGAAAGTATTTCCACGGCTGTAGAGATGGCTCAGTGGTTAGGAGCACTGGCTGCTCTTGCAGAGGACTTGAGTTGGGTTCTGACCTACATGGTGGCTCACAACTTCCTATAATGCCAGTTCCAGAAAACTCAATGCCCTCTTCTGGCCTTGGCAGGCTCCCACATGACATGTGCATACAAACATGTACTCTCTCTCTCACCCTCCCTCCCTCCCTCCCTTTAAACTTAAAAATAATTGTGTTGATGTTTGTGACATTACTCTGTACTTTCTCAAGTTTGTGTCTTGTTGGAATCAAGAGTACACCAGCTGTGTAAATAGAGTCTAGGGCTATGTACTTTTGTGTTTTCTCAAAAGGGTCTGGGCAGAACTGGGCTGCCAGCTTCCTGAAAGTAAAAAAAAAAAAAAAAAAATGCCCGTAAGCCTTCTGGGACCCAGAGTTTTCCATAAGGGGGGATTTAACTGCCAGTATGTTCTTCTGATGGTTACAGGGCCACCCAGGCTCATCCATTTTGGTGGCTTATGTTTTTACATGAATTTGTCCACTTTTTCTCCCTTTTCTGATTGGCATCCACTGACTCACCATAGAATCTGTGTCTTCTTTCAGTTAGTTCTTGCTGTATGTGCCACACCATTGGACCATACCACCCCCTAGCTTCACACTACAGCCGTGTGTGCTCTTAGTCTTTTCTGAGGATCAGCTTTCAGCTCTCCTGGCTTCCTGCTGCATTGACAGCCTCTCTCTTGTTCCCTGTGCTTTGGCATAGGTTGGATGCAGGCTTTGGATTTCAGCTGCTCTTCCTCCCATAATAGGCACTTAAAACTGTACACTTCTGTCTAATTACTACTTTAGCTGCATCCAAATTTTGATACATAGTTGTAAAATTATAATGGAGCTCCTAGTCTCCATCTTGGGTCCTTTGATTTAGAAATACGGGTGTTTTTTTGTTCCTGAATGAATGTGTTTTTAAAGAGTTATTAACTTATAAATGAACATGATTTTAATTAGAGAATGGGACTGGATCTTATCAGTTATTAGAATTATCTGGGATTGGATGTGTGGTCATTCTTTAAAAATGTTTCATTTGTAGCTAGATGGTATGTTTTGAATGGAGCATTATGAAGCGTTTTACACCTGCTGATTGAAACCAGCTGTTACTTCTAGTCTCAGAATCTCTATTCTCTCAGTTATCTTGGCCCATCAATGGGTGAGAAATGTGGATACTTGTAACTCAGTGTTAGATGTATCAAATTCTAAGAAAATAGTTTTTAATATTGAAGTCTATTTAATGTGATAGTAACATGACCTCTGAGCCTTTTTTTTTTCATTTAGTGCCTACTTGCTATATCTGTTTAAACTTCTTTACATCTTTGATGCCCCTGATAATTCTGTTTTGTGTTTAGGTTTTATGAATAGCACATAAATGGATTCTTAAACATCCTCTCTAGTGATTCCCTGCCATTTTGCATGGGTGTTTGGCTCATTTACATTTATTGTTGTTGCTGTTGTCTCCATTTATTTCTGTTGTCAATATTAAGCATCCTGCCGTGCTCATTTCCTTTATATTGTTTGAAAATGTATTTTCTTGACATAATTTAGAAACCCCCTTTCCTACATATTTGTCAAAAGCTACATACTTTCCTAGTCAATAGCTGGCTGTTGCCCTTACCTCTTAGCAATTTTTAAACTAGGTCCCCTTGCTCTCTGGTTTGTGAGGCTATTGAGTTGCTGTGATTCAATGGTCTTCTTGGATTTCATGGTATTATTAGTAGTTTATCTTCATCTTGCAATTTTTCTCTACAAATTAAACCCTTAGGGTTCACTGACCCTACCAGTGTTTGTTCAACATTGTTCTCTTTGCCTTTCTTCTGCTGATTATGATCTGTTTACTTGATTGTGACCTGTTAATAAACTTTTTCAATGATTGCATTTTTCATTTCAAGGAGCTTTCTTTTCCCCTCATTTCAAGTGTCTGTCAATTGTGTGTTTCTCACTGCTAATTCTAATGCTTGATTTTAACACGATTAGGTATGGTCACTGACAGTTCTGATATCTGAAGGCAGAGTCAGCCTTGGCTTGCTCCTTCATGTGTGTGGTGATTTTATTTTTTCAAATGCCATTGGCAGGCTGAGTTTATCTGGGAGCTGTTACACTGTTGTTGTATTTAGTTATGAAACCAGCTTTGCCAGGAGAACTCTGTGCAGGGAAAGGTGGAGTGGGCACAGGAGGCCAGGTGGGGAACAGAGGGCAGATGGACATGCAGATGGTTTCAAGGAGAATGTGGAAACAGAATGGGACAAGAAGGACAAGAGAACAGTGAAGATGAGATTCCAGGGGCATCACAGACAGTTGTGCTACCTTTAGGAGTGGTCCTCTGAGTGGCTAACACAAGCCTAACACTGAAGAACGGTCATGGTGTTTTATCACAGCAACAGAAAGTTTACTAAGACAAAGAGTCGGGGTTTATGGGGACCTACCACTTGTCTTCAGGAATGCACTGGCCAAAGATGACAACAGAAGGCATGGTGAGGAGAAAGCCAGAGCCTGCAAGATGTTGCTACCTGTATCCGTGCTGGGAGGCAAATAGAGGAGGCCTTGACCAGCTCTGCACCTGACCCACAGGAGCTGTGGGAATTCAGAGACCCCCATGATCCTCAGGAGCAACTTCAGCCAGAGCTGGGTTCAGAGGGAGCTTGAGGATGTGGGTTTTGTGATGATGGAGAGAGTTCCTCAGAGTGCCATGGGAGAGTAGGGACAAGGAGGGGGTGGGAGGGAGACCTACAGCCAAATGGCTCAGGAGAGTGATTATCCCAGCTGGCAGATGAGGCTATGTCTACACAGTGGCCAGATGGGTGAACACTGTGAGACTCACAGTGTTGTGGAACATTATGTTAAGATGTGTTACATTCATTTATGCTGTGGGATATTTGTTTAATATGCAAAGATGTATTACATTTGTTTAACTCTGTAAAGCTGTGTTACTTTGCCTGCCTAAAACACCTGATTGGTCTAATAAAGAGCAAGGCAGGAGAGGGGTAGGCGGGGCTGCAAGGCAAAGAGAATAAAAGAGAACAGGGAGGATGGTGAAGAGGAGGAGAGAGCACCAGGGGCCAGCCACCCAACCACCCAACCAGCCCCAGAGTAAGAAGGAAAGAAAGGAATAGAGAATAGAGAAAGGTAAAAGCCCAGAGGCAAAAGGTAGATGGGATAATTTAAGAAACAAGCCAAGCTAAGGCCAGGCATTCATAAGTAAGAATAAGTCTCCATGTATTTATTTGGGAGCTGGATGGTAGCCCCCAAAGAGTGAAAGAAAAAACTACACATGCTTCTGAAAGATGCTGGCTGAGTCTGCAGACCAGGGCTAGCCTGGGGTAAAGCAGAGGCTGCTTGGTGGAACACTGGCGTCCTGTTGTCCCATGTGTGAGTTGGTCCACTTCACTTGCTTTTTGGCAGAATCTTGTACATTTTCAATACATTCTTTTTTAATCTTCCTGTAGGTTCTGAAGTTGAGTCAGAACTCTGTGGGCAGGGCTTAGCAGACTTCCTGGGGGATTCTGCTCCCTAGAGCTGGAGGAGCCCTAGGCTAGTCCATCTCCAAGCTCATCAGTTGTGTGGAGTGTTATCAGCCATCATGGGTTGTTTTTAATTTTCTCAATGACTTCCAATCCTCTCAGCTCCAGACACCAACCTCTGGGGATATACTTGGTATGTCTATTTGTGAATCCCACACATGGCAGTTTCCTGCCTGAGGATTCCCAGGTCAGGATGGTACAGACCTAAAGATACCCTAACTCCAATTCCAGAGAGGCACCCACATCTGACCCCAAGAGTAGGCTGATGTGGCAGCTCGCAAGCCTTTGGGGACTTTAGACGGAGCCCAAGAGTTGGTCACTTTCATTCATTTGCTGTGGATAAATAAACCCCAAGAGACACCCGGGGGCAAACTAAGTTTCTAGTGACCTCTAGACTGCAAGGGGAACAGGAAACTGTCCCCCACCCTAGCCTCCTGGCCTCTGTCCCTTGGAAGGCTGACAGCCAGGCTCTGTCAGCTGCAGGTTTTGCAAGTAGTCAGGTAGGAGGGGACAAGAGCCCTTCTTCTCAGCTCCCTGAAAGTCCTGCAGCCACCAGAGGTGGCTCGTGTGGGGAAGCCCTCCTGTTGCTCTGGCCCGTGCTGTGTGTCATTTCCATAAGGTCTGCGGCGTCAGACAGCCACCACGCAAAGCCATAAACTTCTCCCCGGTTTCCAAATGCTTCCTTTCCATCTTGCACGAGGGACGTTTCTTTGGGGTGAAATAAATTGTGGATGTAAAGGCAGAGGCTGAGGCGGCGGCACCTGCGAGCCGCTGAGACTCAGGTGTGCAGGGACGGCTGAGAAATGAGGCCGGCGGCTTCCCTGGGATGCAGGTGGGGCCCGGTTTGATTTGCATCTTCTCCTAAAATGTTTTTATGCACCACAGCTCGGTCACTGTGACTAATCACAAGATTTAATGGCCTTAAACTGCTCACTGAGGACCCAATTCAATTAAAAAATGTCCTGCGGAAGCCATGAATAATCCCCTTGTCTTGCCTTTTTTTTCCCCCCACAGTCTTCCAGAGGCTTCTATCCTGCAGAGACCAAATGGATTTTTTTTTCTCCTTTCTTAATTTTTTTTTTTTTTAAATGACATGATCCCTGGCCCACGGTCACCTCCTGTCACCTCTGGTCCCACTCCTCCAGGACTTCCGGGAGGAGAGTCTCTCCTGCTGGGTTCCCACTCCCCCTGGACTGACTTGCTGCCCTTAGTTTGACAGGCTGTGGAGCGAGATGCCCGTCAACGCCAAGGGGAGGCTCAAGTACCAGGACTTCCTCAGCAGGTTCGGCACCGAGAGAGCACCCTCGCCGCCCATGGCCGCAGGTGACTCTGGAGACTCGACCGTTGCCCAGAGGGGAAGCAGTGCCCCTGAGGTCTCCCAAGGAAGCAGATCCACCCTCTGCTCTCCTTCTCGGGACTCCAGATCTGCGAAATCACGGAGTCACCCCTGTGTGAGTTCCCAGCCTGATACAGGGGCCCCATGTCACCTCCTGGCAGGTCCATGCACACAGGGGCCCCCAGTGTTTCTCCCCCAGACTGCAGGTGACTGAGAGACTGGGTTCATGAGTCTGGGGGAGGCTCTAGTGTCAGTTTCCGGCGGTGGGGGGTTGAGGGGGTGGGGGGCGGGAGTTTGAGCAAGAGTGGGGGCAGGGCAGGGTAGAAAGAGCCAGAAGGGGAAGAAGAGACAGAAGGGCACATCATCCATAGGCAAGAAACCTGGCTCTGAGAGGGACAGTCCCCTGACCTTGGGCACCATCCATACTGATGAATGTGTTCCCAATTTACACCAGAGCCAGGTGAGGCCCAGGGTGTTTTCCTGGGCCTCAGTCCTCAGTGTGACACAGAGCCCTGAGCCCTAGACTGAGTCATCCCAGGCTTGCCAGAAGGAGGCTCCTGGGGAATGACTTGAATGACAGTCTCCAGGGCAGGGCAACTGAGAGCGCACTACACATTCCCACAAGGCAGCTGCTGTGTGCTCACACCTCGTGCCTGGAGTAGCATGGCCCCAGACAGAGTGCCCATCATGTGCTCCAGCACCATCCTCTGTATACCTCTACTATGCACTGGGTTTTTGCTACAGCCCAAAATGGACAAAGGTACCCACTCAAGAGGGTTATGTATGGTGTCACAGATTTCAGGATGACAGACAGTGAATGTGGTGGTCTCCAGGGAAGTCAGAGGAATGTAGAACAGGAATCAGATATTCCTTAAGGCTAGCTGCCTCCTAGTCTCCCCGCGTTGGGAGGGAGATTAGGCTGCTGATCTGTTGAGATCTGGACAGAGAGCTGGCCAGCAGCACTCAGGGCCTTTGAACTGGGAATCCAGGGAAACACACATAGCATTAAGGAGGCAGGCCCCAGAAAGGCTGCCTCTTGAGGGTGGAGGGAGCCCCAAGTCAAGGAATTTGGGGAGTTCCTGGGATTTAGTAAGGGCAAGAAGAAGTGCTCTCCTCTTAAAACATGGCTTTGTATTTATTTCCAAAGCTATTCTGCTTATTATGGGTTGGGTTCAGGTGGCTCTCGGGTGGAAGTAAGGTCATCTCCTCCCCTGGCACCTGCAGAGCTGACCTTCAAGTCCACTCTGTGGTTCCCATGACTGCCCCCATGAGACCTCCAGTTGAGAGACCCTTTGTCTCCCTCCCCACAGACCCCAGTGGGCACCCCACTCCTGCAGAACTGTGAGCCCATTGAGAGCAAGCTCCGCAAGCAGATCCAGGGCTGCTGGCGGGAGCTCCTGAAGGAATGCAAGGAGAAGGACATTGACAAGCAAGGGAGCGTGACCGCGACGGAGTTCCTGGGTCCGTCTGACTCCACCCCTGGGGAGACATCCATCAGTCCCGCCAGCCCTGCGGGGGGGGGGGGGAATGGGGGAGATGGGAGGAGCCTGTGGGGGTGTTCGTGTCCGCTAGCTAAATGAGGGCAAGGATGCCTGAACCCCTACCAACGGCACTGTGGGCTGCTTGGTCCTCAGCGCTCGTTGAGAAGTTCAAGCTGGACATTAGCAAGGAGGAGAGCCAGCAGCTCGTTGTCAAGTATGACCTGAAGGGCAACGGCAAGTTCGCCTACTGCGACTTCATCCAGAGCTGCGTCCTCCTGCTGAAGGCCAAGGAGACCTCACTGATGCGGAGGATGAGGATCCAGAATGCGGACAAGATGGTAGGTGTTCCGTCCTGGCGACCGTGGTGTCCCGAACCAGGCACCAGGTGGACCTGGGCACGCAGGATCCCCGGGGGGGGGGGGGGGTGCAGGGGGGGCTGCTGGTCAGAGCCTGGCTCCGCCCTGCCACCAGCCGGGACTCACCTGACAGATGTCCCCAGATGTCCCTGCAACCTCCCCACAAAGGCCCCTTGGACCTCTGGCTACCCACTCACTCTGGGAGTGAGGCCCTGCATCTTCTTCCCCCACTACCCAAAGGGGCCGGGGCGGTGGAAGGTGGCCGCCATGTCAGCTAAGATGGCGGGCCTACATGTCAAGGCATGTTCCTGCAGGTAGGGTAAAGGGGGTAAAGATGAGACTTGGGGGGGCATCCTATCTGTGACATTTAAAACGTCCTAGAAGCTCGATTTCTTTAAAAATAATGGAAAGAAGTCTTCTCTCTGCTTCTGGAACTCTGAGGGGTGGAGTCTAAAGATACATCCTGGGGGCTGGAGGCTGGAGGTCTGTGGTGGGGGCCATCTACCCACAGTGGTCTTTCTCGGGGCGGGGCAGCGCTTCTTCCTGCATAGTGCCCCGGGAGTTAAAGAGAAGGCCAGGTGGGCATGTGGACGCCCAGGGCTCACGGCCAAATTAAACCTGTGTGTGCAGCCGGGGGTGGAGCCTGGGCTGAGAGTGGGTGGGGCCTGAGCAACTCTCTAACACCCAAGCACCGC